CACTATGGCTTCAATACTATATGATCGTCATCGTTTGCGTTCAAAGTCAAGAAGAAGCGCGAGAAGCAGTAATCGTGTCTACTACTGCGTCGTGAACGGACATGTAGACAGCGCTTCTGGGAACGATGGAATAAAAACAGCTTTTTTCAAGCATCTGCCGCACAGCAACTGAAAATACATTTGACACTCAAGAAATAAGAAGAATTGCGAGTCGTGACGTCACAACAGCTTTTACCTTTACACTGGGCGAAAACAAGATTTACCCCGACCGCCCGGTATTCTTGATACACGTGGAACAATGCATTCACTGCCGACAAGTCGATGTACGGAAACGAAGAGCAGTCAATAATCACGGTGAGAAGGTCATTGTCAGCGTTCATACGTTCTTTACATTCATCTGCATTATGCTTTGAAATTTCGCAGCAGACGGTCTCACCTCCACCACTGTCAAGTTTCGCAATTTCCTCATCCTATAAAAGCGGTTAAAATCACTCGAAATTAACAGCTTATTACTTAGCACAAACGTATAAAACCGGAATAGGAAGCCATCGACACAAAAAACGGTGTGTCAATCACTTGTGTGGATCAGAATAGCCTGTCAACGAGCTAGTGCAACGGAAATTCGCACTTGATAATGAAACAAAGGAAGGTGCACGATATATGACTAGTCCATTTTTGAATTCATCAGGTGAATGGTATACAACGACGATATCATATTAAGCGGGCAGTTGTGGCCGGTGAATAGGGGTTCGAAATAAGATCTTTTAGATTCGGTTCTGTTTGTCATGATCACACATTCCGATCAGACTGCAAAATAGTATCACAGCAAAGCGACTCAGAATCGATATCACGCTGAACCCAACATGTCTTTTGTTATTTATCTTGAATCACTTATCACTGGAGGAGTTTGATGCCTATAGTGTCCCTTCAGGGAGATTAAAATAGAAAAACTTGCACTCAAGTAAAAAAACACTGTCGTTAATAACGGTATCGAATTCTGGAAGGCCCGTCAATGGGCTAATACTATGCATATTCAACTTTGAAGGGTCTTTCATTTCCTGGTTAATTTTGTATACGTCCTGGATATATGAAATTAATATTAATGCAATACAGTACGTAGACCAACGCCTATCCATATGTCACAGCCAGAAAGTCAGATATTATTGGGATATTGAGCTGAGCCGATTTCGCTAGCTGAGAATGATAAATGGTAATCGATACAGGAAATACTACTGTCTGATCAGACAGGGGAACACACCAGGGAAAATTTTGCCCAGTGCATTATAGCACTACAATAAGCTCTTGGGTAACGTTTCCAATGAATTATCCTAAAAACGCTCAGACAGGCAATTAGTGGAAAACTTCGCCCAAATGAAGCAGGCTTTTGGATGGGGTGTTTCTGTCTCGACTAAATTTTTACTCTGCGCAAGATCACCGACCAATGTCGACAATTACATTTGCCTTAGTTCACCTTGATTCTTTGACTTAAGGGCCAAATTTGTCTCAATACATTATCTGACGATAAGGAAAATCTTTGAATGCTATTGAATACTAAAATGAAAAACTAATAAAATGCAGGAACCAGGTCTGTTGTTAGAGTTTAAGCGGAGGTACGTGAATGGTTCTCAATTAACTGTGGACTTTGTAAGAGACGTTCTTTCACATGTGCTTTGCTATTCAACGATGTTCTTCACTTTGTTTTCGAAATAGTGCTGATCATGGGAAAGACGAAAGCTTCATTCTAGAGCGAAGGCACAGTTCAACATATAAGGCTAGATCTTTTGCTGACCTGGAGTACGTAGATGATATTGTACTGGTCAGTAGTTTGAGAAGATGACTGTACCACCGGTCGGTTACCGCAAAGGGCACAGCTGCAAAAGCCGGCCCCTGCTTAATGACAAGAAGTCAAAAGTTATGAGGAACCCATCCGGTACAGCTGTCCTACAAGTGGAACATGGCATCATCGAATTATGGTTAAACAGAAAGATTGTCCTAAGCACGAGTGAATTTGGCAACCTGTCCAATATTTGCGCTGAGTTACGCTTCCTACAAACATCCGCCTGTGCATTGTCTCTGTCAGGTCAGTTTGGTTACAAGCCATGGAAAGAGCTGTTCTAACGAAGGAGCTAGAACTACCATTGAAACACGTGCAGAAGAGTTGGCTTCGGCGCAAATTTGAGAGCTAAATGGTCGCATCATAAAAGGAAAGTCTCTGCCCTGCCCCGGGTACGATGACCTATGCAAATGTGAAGATTAAGAAAAGGAGGCTGGCATTGTCA